TGTGTGTGTGTGTGTGTGTGTGTGTGTGTGTGTGTGCGTGATACGCTAGTGGTTGATCTGACCAGTTTCACACCGGGGAGGTCTCAGAATCCTGCTCCTGCTGCTGCCTAAGCTCCCCCTAGAAAACAGCATTAGTTCAGGGAAAAGATGGGACGTCCCGTGAAACCTGCTCTGATCCCATCTGGGAGTGACCCCCGACCTCCTGTCTGAGAGGACGAGGGAGAGAGTGGGGTTGAGAGGGGATAAGGGAGCGAGGAGGACACCAAGATGATTGAATTTTGTTTTTCGGCTCAAGGAGGGGGTTGGAGGATTTAGTGAGAAATCAAAACCCCCTCCCCCCTCTTCTCCTCTTCCCTTCGTTGTCCACAGGACCCTGCAGCTGTCCCTTTTCCCTCTAATTTTTCTCTGTCAGATTTCAGCCTATAATTAGCAGAAAGACCTCAGTGACTCTCCACACACATGTGAGTGTGTGCCTGGGCAGCCCAGAACTAATGGTCTAAATCCACCCCCTATACACACACCCCTCCTTCCCCACCAAGCGTCCAGATTGCAAGAGTGACAGGTTCACATGTAGAGACTCTGAGCCGAGCTCGTTCCCACTGGCCGTGCAGCCTGAAACAGCAGCTCCACAGAGGTCTCCTCCACGGTGCCAATGGGCATCTTTACGCCCCCACCGAGTCCTTCCCCCTGCTCAGCATTCCTGGCATGGCATGGAGCCCCCACCTGCTGCCCGCCTCGCATTTAAAGACCGGGTTTTATAGAACCGGCTAAGATTCAGCGTCTGTGAAGTTACAAAGGGAAACCAGAGGCCTCCGAGCGCGTCGGCCTGCAGTGGGAACAGTGCTGCGGGAAACGCTGAGAGCTTTTCCATGACATCCCTCCCGAGGCCATACGTGTCAGGTCGTGGTTGTATAATCGCAGATCAAGGTTGCGTGGTTGCAGGTCAGCAGCTTGTCCATAACAAGTGGAGGTCCGCAGCGTGCTGGTGTGATTGGGCAGCGCAGTCGACCCCCGGGTCTTCTCAGAAATCCATCAACGTCACTGGGATTCAACACCTGTTACTATCCTGCATCCACATCAAGACAAACACTGGTGTTTTTCTATGCAGTTACTTCACTGACCTACAAATTCTTTATTACATTTACCTGTACACGCTGAACATAAGTACACACAATACACCTGTTAGAAATATTCGTATTGTTACGTATTATCAGCGACATCTAATTTATTGTATTTTGAGTATCAAAAGTAAAAGTACAAAGTATCAAAAGTAAAAGTACAAAGTATCAAAAGTAAAAGTACAAAGTATCAAATGTAAAACTACATATTTTTTGAAATGCCCAATTTTAGGACGTTTTTTTATTTTGTGCAACAAGATAATTAATAATATCAAGTCAAAGGATAAGTTAAAATCTTCACCTCAACTAAAAACAGCTGTTGGATATTTGGATGTAATAATGCGTCACATTTTATAATTTTAAGGTAAAATATTTTGTAAATTCTGTATCTATTAAACTACAAATATTAAAAACTAATATTAATAAAGTAGGATACTCAATACCCATGCAAAGTACAAATAGTACACAATTTAAAAATAAATAAATAATAGGATTCTTAAGTGCAGTATGATAAATGTACTTAATTACTTTCCACTGAAAACTGCAAACGAAGTTTTAAGTCAATCATTAAAATATTTTTTGTTGATTTTATCATTATATCATTATGCATTTATATATCAAAAGTTCAAAATTACTGGTTAATTTACAGCAGTTAAGGAAAAAGCACAATATTTGCCTGTGTAAAGTGGTGAGGTAAATGACGGCAATAAATAAAAGTACGTTTAAGTACCTTTTTTTATTTATATACCCATATTTTAGTTACTTTCTACCACTGCAAATAACAGATCAGACTTTCCTTGTGATAATTAATCAAATATTGTCACCACGTTTAAAAACATGTGCTGCATAATGTCTCCGTCTGTTCCCCGAATGTCCTCATCCCTTCAGTAAACACACACTGTGGGAGTGAAGCAGATTTTGAATGGAAAGACAAAAAAAAAAAAAATTGTCGGTGCAACAGCACAACAGCTTGAAATTCAAGCATAACTATTTCCAGTGTAATACCGGAGCGTAAGTCAGCGTGCAAAATGAGACAAATGTCACCCCCGCATTTCGGACGTGGCAATATTTCCGAGGAAACCCGACACTCATCCTAGAGTAAACCGTGTCCTTAAAGGTATTACAAAGTCATTCTTTACCTCCTTTTTCTCACACTTAATTTGGGCATTACTCTCGTTTACGGAGGCTTTCTGCGGTTATGGTGGATTTATGTGGTTTATCAAGTTTTCCTGGCTTTTCTCCTCTAAACCCACAACACTAAATCACACATTTGTCCAAACACATGTGGTTTCTTAGCCGCCATGATGTACGGCTTGTACAGAGCACCTTTTCAGTTTTCGCAACATGCACATTTTGATCGATTTAGTGCTGCGACAATGTTCTCCAGCACCCGAGGGAGATGCACAGCTATAATCTCCCCATTAAGTTGTTTTTCATTCAGAAACTCTGAAATGTTGCTTGACTTTTTTTTGGTCTCGTGAACATAAAGCTCTTCCTCATGCTTAAATTCACCGGGCTGTGACACACGGCGTCGCTTTAATGAGGGCATGCAGGGGAAAGCTGTAAACGGATAAACACAGATAAACCACAATGTGGGAATGAACAAAAATTCAAATGACGGCACCAGACGAGGGGCTGGGACGCCTCGACAATAAAAAAACGCGAAGTCGCTGCAGCTTGACTGACAAGTTCATGTGGGGAGATCTTTACCGTAGCAATATAACTTGAGTTGCTAGGAATAACATCAGCAGATGGATGGATTTTCCGCACTGACCGATAAAGAGACAGCATCTGTTGTGTGTTCGTTTGTGTGTCAGTTGGCCATGTGTGCTCTTACATCAGATTTTATGTATGCGAGTGTGTGTTTCTATCTATATGATGGTGCGTTTGCGTGGGGATCCTGATTCTCCATGCCCAGAGTGTTGGCACAGGGGAACAGTATTAGATTTGACGTCCTGCCAAAAAGCTGCGGCTACAAATATAGCTACAATTTTTTGTTTTTTACATGAATCGCTGCCAGTGTGGGCAGAGGCCTCTGGATTGACAGGAAAACACTGCCTGGTATTTCACCGCAGTCCTGATTAATGTGACAGAGAGGTCTTTCAAGTGAGCGCTGAAATAGAACATCGCGTAGTTCAGACAGCAACAAAACAACACATAACCCTAAGCTTGATATAACAGGGGAATTGTCTGGTGTCCTGACACGAGGAGAACCACAACACTCTGGGTTTTTAATTTTTGAATTCAAAAACATGACATTAAGCAGACGCTGGTATAATTGAAAACTCTGTCTGATGCGTGACAGATTAAAATTTCTATGTCTTAACAATATTGACATATTATGGAAAGAATCCAGTTTTAGTCTGAACTTTTTTTTCACTGCATGGTTTTGTTGATGCTTTACAATAACAGACTTCTTGGAATCCAGTGAATACTTTTTTGGAATGAGAATAAATGTCTGAGGGTTAAGTTAAATAAGATGTTTGTGATTTTCCTTCATGCAACAATGAAGTGGTTCCAATAATACTTATTACTCCTTTTATTTTCTCCAGAATCTTTAAGTCTAAAAGGTTGCTTTCCCTTTTTCATACTGATTCCAAGCTACAATTATCCAAATCCAAGAAGTGAACATAAAACAACGTAAAATAAAGATCCCAAAATAAAAAAAAGACAAGACGGAGGTACAACATACATGGTAAGCATGTATATTTTATGAATCATTAATTCAACACAAGTGGAGTAATTTGGTCGGCATTATTTTCTGAAGTTTAATAAACTACAAATAAATAAATAAAAATGTATTAAATGATAAAGGATAGTTCAATGCTCGCAGTGTTTCAGTTGTTGCAACATCAGACTCCTCAGCCCGAGTGTTGGCATGTGCTTCACCTTCTCTGGTATTCCAGGAAAGAAGAAATAAAATTGGGTGCGTGCACATTTGAAGATTATCAGTAGTAAAAGTTACTGCGTGCTCATAGTAAGAGTGCTGCGAGAGTGGGCTGCTACAGTGGTGTGACCTACTGTAATACACGTGTGAAGACGCCTCAGTAAACACCTCCACGTATTAGGGTGTTGAGAGACAGTAGTGAGTTGGTCTGAGCACTCCATCATTAGTCATTGACACAGTGATATGTGGGAAGCTGCCACATCCGAAATCACCGGCACCAGAATCACGACAGTCCCGCAGAAAGAAAAAGAAAATATTCAAACAACAAATTGCTTCATCGCTGTGTATTGACAATGAACGGCTTATCCAGCATCTGCAGGATCATAAAATTATCACCTTTCTAAAAAAGACGAGTGACGTTTGGAGAGGAGCCGGCCAACGGGATTGTGGGATGTTCTGGAAGCTGCCGCGGTCGTGGTTTAATGACCAAACTGATATTTCTGCTTTTATTGACCTGTCACTTGCTTTCAGAGACTTTCTCTGTGAACAGGAGGTGAGGAAGGGGCCGACGTCCCCGGAGGGACAAGCTGGCCTGCGGTGGTGACAGTATCTATGTACAAGTGTGAACAGACCCACTTCACCTCAACTACTGTGAGGACATTTTCAATACTCTCTTAAATATATAATAGGGAACAATTATTCATTAAAATGTCTAAAAAAAACTGTACAGGCCATACAGGCTATAGAAGTTATTTTCTTTTCCTTTTTATTTGGTCATATCCTCGTTACCCATGGTAACCGAGTCTGAGTTTTAACGTCCGGGACTAACGATGCATGAGTATCAGTTATGAGCTGTTTTCTCCTTGCACTGTTTGTATAAGTCAATCAAAATGGATCCTGATTATTAAAATGGTTGCGGTTTTGCTGCGCAACGTCAACATGATTTGTATCATAGTCTCATCAGCATCGGTGGTTTAGACAACAAATCCCAAGATCCCACGCTGCCTTATGATGACGTCACACTAGGTCTTTTGTTGTTGTTTTGATTGAGAGACCCTCCTAACAGCAGAAGTTACATATTTTGCATTTGAAATCAGCCAGAATCAGTTCTGATCACAGTTGGACGTAAACCACTGGCTGCGTCTGCCGACTAAATAAACACAACTACTGGAAACACTACTGAATTACTCTCAGTAAGCATTTTGTTATAGTATCAAATTGAGCTCTTTTCTATTCTGCTTCAGAAAAACATCCATCATTCAGGCCGTGTCCTGCCAGAGCCGGGCTTGTTTTTTCTTGAAACTAAAAAAAACACCCAACACATGTTCTTACTCATAAAAATATCTTCCATTCAATAATAGGATTTCTAATCACATGTCCAAACACAGGCTAAACTCACGCTCTGCTCCGAGACACACACACACACAAGTTCACAACCGGGTTATGCTCTGTAAACAAGGTACAAATCCTGACAACTTTGCACACAAAGTTGAGCTCAATTTTAGCCTCCAAAGTAAACCATCATGCCTGAGCCAACACTTGGCCTTCACAAAGGCCCACTGTAGTTATCACCTTAAGTGTGAACGGACTGCTCTCTCTGCTTTTTTAAACATTGTGGAATTCCAAGAAAAACATCATAATTCCATTTATTTACTTTTAGAAAAGATGTAATCTCTGGCGCTGGATATCTCTCCAGTGTATCTTTGGCCAAAACAGGGTGAACTTTGGTGCCGTACATTTTTAAACACCTCCTCCCACAACCCAGCGCTCTGATTCCTCAGCACTTTTATTTGACTTTCACATTCCTACGCTGAGGCTCGCTGAGATCGAAAGGACGGGGGCAGCGGCGGCAGCCTAAAGGTTAGAGAAGAAGGCTTGTGAACCAAAAGGCCAAGCACTGAAATCCAGAGAAATGTTGATGGATAACAGCGGGATGGAGGGAATTAATGAAGCCGCAGAGGCTCAGAGGCCAACAGAGGAAGACTGTGGACGTACCGGACAGATCTCAGGTGTGAATGTGGATACATGTGTGGCTGTGAAGAAGGGAGGAGCTTTCCTGTT